TCAATCTTGCTGCAAGTCTGTTCGCATGCTGAAAGCTGAGTGTTGCGCATCGCTTGCCCAGGCTTTCAAGACCTTTTTGGGCCTGTCAGACTCTGCGATACCAATGTTGATTGTCAAATGCAGCCAACTGGCCTGCCGCGAATCGTTCCCTTCCTCAGTCGTTTCGCTATGCCTAAGCCCTTGAGAGTTGTTGTTTTAGAACAGTTTGCCATTCTTTGCACCAAGTCTCCCCCTCCGCAACAGGAAGCTGGTCAAGGAGGCCATGTGGCTGCCTTCAGTAGCTTCCACTGCACCTCGCTGCGTTCCCACGAACTCAGAGGCTTTTGTTCACTCAAGGTCAAGGCCATGGTCTTCAGGCACTTTGATGAAACCTCGGTTGGTCCACTCTCTTCTCACCCCACTCTGATGTCATGAAGCCAGCATGTGACATGGGAACGCGGTGTTGCAGTAAGGCAAAAGCTGGAAAGCAAGGATGGCATGGACACAAAATATCGTAAGTTTAAAGTGTCCAAATGAAGACGTTCTGAGCATTGTTGCAATGTGCAAAGCAAACTACTGTTGAAAGTACCAAATCCGATTCCATGCAATGTTGTGCAGTGGCGTGATGCACCTTTGAGCCATCGCACGCACATCCAGAAAAGCTGGCAAAAACTTGCAAACCTGAAATCCCCCGAGTCCTCATCTTCGCAATAAAAGAGCAACTCATAGTTGCCAACCTGGCATGTCAGCTGTACCACCCATGTCAATCATGTCAGCCCTGAGTTCACGACCTTGTTCTTGACTTCGGAATCCAAAAGCACCATCTGCAACGGAGGACAAACATCCGCTAGAAACGGGGCACATCGGTCCCGATCCATGATTACCATCTATTTTGGATGAAATGCTGAGAATGCTGCTGTGTTCAACAAACACAAATATCGTAAACTTGCTGTTATATTTAGCATTGAACAGCAGTGACAGTAGACCCAGGCAACTGATTGTCACCGAGTGGCGGCCCCTCGACCCAGCAACACCTGCGCAGCCGAATGTGGACACGGTCAGCAAATAAGTGTCACACCTCGCTGGTGATTTCACCGTTTGGATCAGGTCCATAGAGCTCTGCTCCTGGCCATTTCATGCTAGCTAGACTCAGCAAGATATGGACCAATGCTAAGTATCAAGCAGTGCCGCATTCAAACCCAATGCTGATGCCCCACCATGCCACGCCTGTATAAACCAACGGCCAGCGCTCCGCCAGTTTGGCGCGGATGCTGGATTCCAATCTGCGCGATACAAATTCCAAATATAATGCGAACAATGTCGGTCGGTCTCCCCTTTTGGATAGTCTTAAAACCAAATCAAAAGAAACGCAACCACATAGAAAAACCTTGAGACACACCTCACCCATACCCATGTGTCCCAAAAGATTCTGATACTTCAACTATCCGGTGCCTGGCTGCCTGACCATCATCAAAATCTTCAGACTCCTGCCAGCACAACAATGGGTTGTACTTACATCCATCTGCGTTGGCATTCCATGAGCGTTGCAAGCAATGTCCTTGTACTTGTTGGCAGCCTCGTAAGCCTCTCCGTAAGCAAACCAAGTCCCATTGAAGCTGGATGTCGGCAGTTGCAATTTGCCAAGGCTGGCACTTCTTCTGCTTGCTTGGCCAAGTCCAGGAAAGCGTCAGCATCTTCACCTGTCCTTATCAATCAATCACCAAGCGGCGCTGCATCAAGCGGAACATAGTTACTGAGGCAAATTCTGGAAGGTGCATCGAAACCTTGATTCAAACACTCTGTACAAGCCGCAAGCCGTGTGATCAAACAGTCAACAACTGAGTTCGAGTCGTTTTGTGTAAGGACCTGGGACCAGGCATTGCTGTCAATGGTGGCCGACAAACTCCAATAAATTAAGGGTAGCACTCTGATGTCGTCACAATCACGGTTGTCACCTCCTCATCGTCTTGCGCACCCACCTCAAGCAATGCCACAAAACACACTGGAAGCTGCGTGAAATTTGGCAACCGGCGCCAGCGGCCCGCACTAGATTGCCCAGTGTTTTGGCCTGCACATTGTGCTAAAATATTGAAACACGTTGGATTGACTTCCCAAACGTTTCAACCTGCATGCATGCACGCCTTGACACTGCCACCACCGGATGGCTTGAACATAATGATGAAGGACCTTGGCGCCAAACCTACTGCAAACAGAAACTGCTATGTTGTTCGCCTGGTTCAGTTCGTTGAACCATAACATCTGCTATCCCAAGCCTCCGGCTGCGCATCAACCGTCACGGAACCAGTGCTCCATGTCACCCAATCCACCTTGCACACGTGGGTTGGAAAAATGAAACCCCAAGGCACAAAACCTGGCCTCTTGCCATTCCTCTTCCGCCTCCGGTCCCCGCACCTGCACTGATTCGCATTCCGTTGGAACTGGATCATCATCGTTGCCTTGGCGGGCAAGCTGATGGAAACGTTGCTGAACATGGCGCCTGGCAAATAAGACGTGGGTTTGTGGTTCAAATCTTTTGTCGCGTGCTTCGGGCGCCTCCGCTGAAATGAGGGAGATGTTCGAACCAGAATTTGACACTCAAACAGCCACCATCATGCACGATAGTTTTGTTTGCAGCACTTTGCTGCATTGTTCGGCAAATGTTGCTGCATTGTTCGGCAAAATGCAAATGTGGTACGCATCTTATCCCAGACTATGCGCACAATAAGCACATGAAACAGCGGGCAAAATGTTTGTGTTGCTGCTTGGAAGGCACATTTGTGTCACGTCCTGCCCCCCCCCCCCACTCCACTCCCGGGGTGCGGCCACTGCAATCTCCATCTCCATGCAAATTGATTGTCACTGCGGCCTTCGGGTCACCAGTACGAGCATCCGCGAGAACCCGGACGCATAAGTTGAAGTTACCATGGCAGGTTCATGCTGACAACAGTTCAAAGAGAACCACAACCTCATGGCAAAATCAACAAACAAGTTGCTTCTTGACCACGCGCTGCACCTTCCCATCACGTTCCCCAGTCGCATCTCGTGAATGTGGTGTCTTTTGCAGCCCTTAGCGAATCTGCAATGAACGCACATTCAAAAGTTCACAAAGCTCAAGCAGCTACCCCCAAAAGGGTTGCAAAATTCCAAAAATCCAGCGTTTGCCCTGTTTGTCTTGCCATGTTTCATGTGTTGCCTAAGACCCCAAGCAAAGAACCTGTTGTGTTTTTTTGTCTCAGTGATGCGCATTGCTTGAAGCTCCCCGCTCTCGATCAAGCTCTTTTGCTGGCCTTGGTTCCACCAATTTACTGGCTGTCTGCGGTCTGCTTCACACGCTGCTTCACTCGGGCAACCGGGAAAGACTCCTGCAGACGCCCTTTTTGCAGGTACTGGCTGCCAGTCATGATTCTTCAACGTCAGCACCGGTTTTGTACAGCAGAAGTGCTCGAGTCGCAGTGTCGTGATCATCCCACCTGCAAATTCGGCAAGGTTGAGATGGGAAAAACAGTATTACACCCGTCTCTATTCAAGTGTTTCCCGTTCCGCCTTCCAAGCCACTCCAAAAATTGTTCGTGGATGGCAGAATAGCCATAAAACGCTCCAGCAATTTGACCTGTCAACAACAGGAATGCTAGGCACTACGCCAATGAACTTCCACACAGCCTGCTATCGAGCCGAAACTGTCTGCATCGCCATTGAGGTTCACAGCTCGCACGACTGCCTCGTTGAAAGACCTGTCAGAATGCCGCACGAGAGATGCAACAAAGCAAGAAAGAAGTGTTAGCTGGAAAACAAGCTGATGTAAGTTCCTGGCTCTGCATGATAGGCTGCCCAGAGTGCCCCAGCCAGGCCGTCAAGCCTTGGAAACCGTCTGTGCGCTGAGACACTTCGCAGCCTTCCGGCCAAGGCACGAATAAGAGCCAAAGTAGTCTGCCGACACAGGGTAGCCGTTGTAGCTCCAACCACGGGCCGCCAGAGTGCTGGCAATATCTAGGGTCTCGTGCTTCCAATTCCAGCATCTCTCCGTGTCACGAATGGGAGTTGATGTGACAAGCCTTGGCTCAGGGCTTGGACACTCCCGTCTAGAAATTAATGTGCATCAGCGGTGCCACTTCATCTCATCTATCCCCGGACCAGAGCGGTCTGCAAGACCAGATGCCTGGTAGAACACCTGGCTGCGCACACTTTGCAACATGTTGCTCATACTTTGTCAAACAAACATACTGACACAAGTGCGCCAGAGAAATGCAGTCCTGAGACTCCGCGTCCAAGAAAGCTTTGATGGAGACCTTGCCTTTTGGCAATCGAAGCGCCTGTCTTACCTGGGCGAGCACCACAATCCGGTCCAACTGGCCTTCCTCCATAAGGCCCGAGCCAAATGCGCGAGAAAAGCACAAGCCTCGGCCGCCACATATCCTGGATGTGTTGTCACAGAAGAGCTTCGGGCGAAGCCTGAGTCCAGTGGTGCCCACGAAGGGTCATGCAAAGCTTCCGATGCACGCCAACAGATTTGTGAGTTTTGGGCTATACAGTTTCTCGAGGGGAACTGCGTGGAAAAGGATTGGTATGGCCGCCAACCTGCGCTCAGCGAGGTGCAGTAGCTGTGCGCAAAACTGTCAACAGCAACAACCCAAGTGACAGAAACACAAAACCGTTTGGGTGCCTCATTAGACTGCCATTGCCGGCATCTTCACTCGCTGACTCGTACACAGGTGGAACGGCACCTCCGCAACTTTGCCGAGAGGGTGGCTTGAATGAACGTGGGAAACTGCTCGCTGGCTGCTTGGAAATGAGTATGTGTCAAAAAGTATTGAGGGGCCCGACAACTGTTGTTTGAGTTCCTTTTTAAACCACCCTTCAACGGGGTACCATCAAAGGCACATATACGCACACACATGGCACGCCTGTTCCCGCAAGATCCACCAAAGATTCCAGTGATTTCTGTGTGTTGCCCCCAAGACCAATGGATTTCTTGGAGTCCCGGGCGGTATCCTTCCGGAATGCGTTGTTGTAGCCTCTGAACCACCAGCACCAAAAGCGAACCCGTTGGTCGCTGCCATCAAAGCCCTTGCGTAGAATGAGAGAATCAGCCAGGCACATTCCCATTGATGCATCATCCGTCCATTGCCCTCGCTGGCATGCAAATTTGTTGAACTCCCCGTGGAATTCCAACGTGGACAGGTCAAAGCGGGATGTTCCAGGCTGATCTGTCACCGTGATATACTCAAACGGATGTCCCAGCGCGTCACCTTGAGACAGGAGGCAACAGGAGCAGAGCAGAGCACCACGCTTGTCAATGCATCCAAGACACCCACTGCCATTCCACAGAGTGATCCCATCGCTTTGTCAAGGCAAGCCACGGAGCCACACTCATGGATGACAGCCTTCATGGATCTTGATGACATGTTGCAGGCAAAATTGCTGGCAGCCTTGATTTGCCGCCATGATGCAAGCTTGTCTTCCACCGGAATCTTTTCCAGAATTGAATAGCTGTTCAAGTCATCCTTCGGCTGCAAACGTGCGCAGTGATCAAAAGGCCACACTTCCCAAACCCCAATCCTCAGCAAATTCACTTCTTATCCGAATTCGATCAGCATCGGTAGCCACATCCAGTCTATCTGCGATACCTCAGTCAAATCGCTGAAGCCACGCATAGCATTTGGGTGACCTGTTCCCTGACGCATCCAATGGATGCAAAATGTTGAGCCCTCAACGTTGCACGGCTGCAAGAGCAGCACTGCCATCACCCGCCATGCATGGCAACAAAAATGATTCTACCGCGCTGGAAAACAAACATTCTGCCTGAATTGTAGCAATGTGCTTCCAGTGTTCTTCATTTTCAAAACATGCAGCGCTCAACCCCACATGAATAGTTGTGGAAGGAAAACTGCTGTCATTCCGGCCTTGGGCCGTGGCTCTCCCAAGCGCTACACAAAACTTCGACTTGACACAAAAACCTCGCTTCCTCTTGGTTACCCGCAGCGCGCAGGCGACGACCGCACTCCAGGCCTGGCACACCCAGCTGACAGCTGCCAATTCAAGCAGGCCGCTAAGCACAGCTTCCGAGGTGACACGCAATATCAAGCTTTGCTGTTTGCCAAATATGATGTGAATGTTCGCAACTGCAAGGGCTTACAGCCGCCGGCCATCCAAAAAACAGAATGGGTTATGCGTCTGCGTTTGGCACCCTGGCAATCAAAACCCGCGGACATTGCAAACAATTTTGTTCGCAGGCAATTGGCACCTCCGAACAAACATCGACATGGGACAAACACGACAAAAATGGCCGGCAAACCTTCAATTGCAACTCCCGGCTCGACTGCACGCAAGCCTTCGCGCGAGACAACAGGAAGCAGCATGCTGGATGCGCGGCCGGCGCTCCGCACAATACACGTTGAAGCAAAGTCCGAAATTGTCCGAGTATCGGTCAAACCTTACGGCCTTGGTTTCGCTGGCTGGGGAGCGCTGCATCAAGCCAATGACCATGCAAGGGGCAAACATGTCGAGAAAACACTGACACCAATCATCTGTTGCCAGCGCAATTCTTGATTCCAACACATGGTACTGACTGCCTGCAAATCACAGGAGAAAGCAAAGGCGTGCAATGCAGGCGTGACTGGCATGAGTTCTTTTGTGACCGCCAGCGAGATCTGTACGTGCGGACTTGCGAGCCTTTGGCATCTCTCCAAGCCAATGGAGAGACTAGTTTACATCTCCCATCAAAACTAAGCCCTGGTCAAGGCTTGGTGCGCAGCGAACCCCATTCAAAGATTGATATGCCCCTCACTGGTGACATCTACAGAGATGCTTGTAAGGAACATCTGACACGCCCCATGCGTGCTTGGACTAAGCTGTCTTGTCAGGCTTCGGAAGTAGTGGGTTGGACGGAAAGGCAAAAATGTGCAACGCGCCAAGGAAGAGGACTAGAGCCTGACAGTGGTTAGTCAAAGCACGTCTCAAATCCGAAAACTGCAACGTTGCTTGGCAACCAACATGGAGGTAGAAACTGTAACAAACATAAAAGACAAAAATTCCACCACCACTCAGAGCTTAATCTAAACAAAGCCGCACATCAAACACTGAAAATTATCTTGCATGCGCGAGGTGCGTATACGTAGAAGAGCTGCGGTATAAACTTCTCACCGTCGGCCTTGTAAACACCTCAGCTTTGCAATTTCCTCCAATGCACTCTAGGCAGCTTTCTAGGCAGCTTGGATGTCTAGGCAACATGGGAGCACTGAGATGTTGAGAAGACGCGGTGACCGCGAATCGTTTGGAAATTAAACCCATCTCTTCGATCTCACCTTCAACATAGTTCAAGGCATTCTTTGGCCTCAAGTCTAAAGTGTCAGTTTCTTTCAATTACATGACAGTCCTTGCCAAAGATCATTGCAGTCTAAGGCTCTAAAGGCAGTATAGCCTGATGCAATGAAGCCACCCATGCCGCCCATCTTCCCGTTGATGGGATTCCATTTCACACCTTGCAGGGCCAATCAAACGATCGGAATCGGTTAATGCACACGTTTGGCTGGAGCCTGCATGGCTTAAAATGGCTCCATGGCTGGCAAGCCAAACCACGGTTTGACAGCACAACTTCTTCGGCGTTTCTCCGATTACTCGGACAAGCGTGTTGTTCTCAACATTGTCCCAGAACCAGCCGGCCTGAAAACATCAGAGCGATGAAGAGGAACAAGCCGGCCACGAACTTGCCTTACTTCTCAACTCAAGAGAAAACCTGACAAAACATATGTCTGCAAACTGCTTGAACGACTCAAACTTGTCCAAAAGCATGAACACCGACACTCACTTGTTTGCGACGAAGCCGCTCAGTGTTGAAAGATCCGCGCTTGGGTTCTTGAATTGCGCCTTGAGAGGGCCCAAATCCTGATTGAGATGCTGGGGGTAGAAATACCATGAGAGTGCCACAGCGAGCAGGCTCAGTGCGATGAGGTCCGAAAAGTTGCCGTGGTTGTTCTTGGTCGCGTTGGTCTTTTTGGGCAGTGGATTGGATGGGAAAACACAAATGTGCAAAGCTCCCAGAAAGACCACAAACGCATAGACATAGAGGAGGCGCGGCACAAAGTTTCCATCCAGCTGGAAAAGATGGTAAGCAATGTAGCCCATGCCAACCATTCCAGCAAACCCGGCCATCTTGCCATTGACTGGATTCCAGCTAACGCCAGAGAGCATCATCCCGATCGTCAGAAGCAACCCACCTCCCAGCTTCAGCGTAGCACTCATGTCTGGGGTTTGTGTAGAGAATTGCGCTTTGAAGGGTCCCACATCCTGAAAAAGTGTGTGGGGACAGACGAACCACTGCCCTGCAAAGACCAGAAGGCCCAAGAAGACCAGATCTGACAAGTTCCCATGCGCCATTGCTGCAGCAACGTGGCAATTGCTACCGACAGCTTTACAAAAACCAAGCCTGTAACAGCACGTAACTTTCGGAATTGTTTGTGAGAGCTTCAAATTGTTGCACTGACAGAACTATAGCGCATTGCTCCTACGTACATATGCTAGACATTTGACCAAGCAGCACATAAGCCAAGAAACTGCAAGAAGCTACCGCGTGTAAGGTCAGTACGTGCAAAAGATCTGTGCGTATTCCAACAAACTTCACAATGCGGGAGGCGAGTGCTTCGTGGGAAGTGAGATGTTACTTGCATGACCACCTTACTAAGTGAAGGGGGGCAAACATATCCAATGCTGATTTCTAGCAACAGCCCTGTACGAATCAGAACGTTTCACGGGGCCGCACGCCACAAAATTTCCCCTTTCAAAAGTGCTCTTGAGTCCAAACATAGTGGAACAACTGCCACGCGCAGAATATTAAAAATTCACAGGGGCAGGGGAGCAGTCCGTTTCACAGCTGCGTGCGTGCCACATGGCAGGTATTCACAGGAATGTGTGACACGTCTTTTTGAGTGATCACTGCGAATGATGATGAACATCACAACCTATCCGCTGAGAACTGGACGTTTCAGAGCTCTGTTATGGGCGTGAGCGCCGTGTCGACTATGTTTCGTTTCCTTGCAAGCGTTTGACACGATGTCCTGAACATGCCTCAACTTGAGGACGCCGTTGTTGAGGTTGTGGGCAAAGGCGGTTGCATTGCCACAAAAAACAGCGCGAACTTTAAACTGTTGCTTTGAAGGCGCGAAATGCGCAAACAACTAAATGCCGGATGTGAAGGCGCAAACTTGCTTGCGCCCAGGTGCGCCGTGAGGCCGGGGCTAAAAATAAGTCGCGTAGCAGGTGCCACCTGGCGCTGGCATCCGGGGCGCGTAGAAGCGATCGGGCGAGCTGGGAAGCAAGGCGTTTACTACAGAAAACGTGGAGCAGGGCTTCTTGAGTGGTGGCGCATAGACCGTGGTTGCGGCGGGCTCCACAAAGTGAGGCCAAAACCTGGCGAAACAAGGGTCGGGCACCGTTTCTGGACTGAAAGTGCAGCACCAAGCCAACAGCCAACTGTGGGCCGGAGTGCAGGCAACGGGGTGGAGCGGGCCTGCGGTGGCCGGATAAGATCATGTTTTTTGTTGAAGCCCTGCGCCGACCCAGTTTCATTTTTCTTTCTGTACGACCCACACAGTTCCAGCTTATTGCGCCTGGAATCACCGCACGAGCAGGGTGCGGGGGAGAGACGCGCGACGGATAGAAGAAAAAAGACAAATGCCCTGCGGCGCTGCGGCAGTACAAGCCCTGGTGCCCCGAACCCTCCTAAGAGGAGTTTCTTTGTTGGACTTGGTGGAAATACACGTTGGCATACCTTCAAACATGCAGCTGCAGATGGCATAGCCAATACGTGAGTGCTGCATCGTTTTTCTTGGCCCGCGCAGTAGCGTGCCCGCTTGGCTCCCGCCACCGCGATGGAAGCGTGCTCACCGCACTCGCAACAGGTGCCTGGATTGTTGCTTTGGGGCGCGGCACCTGCAATTCCGCAGTGCACAATCACTACTACTTTCTTGTTATGAGCATTGTCTGGCATGCTCCTCTGCATAGACATTGGCTCCCGAGCTCCTTTTTTCTCCCCAACAGCTGAAAGCTTCAAAGGGCTGGGCGCGGAGGCGCCAGCCAGGCCGAGAACGTCGGCGAGCTCAGGCTCTCCCTCCACAGCCAGCTGCGCTGAAAAAACAACCGCCGCCCAGCAAAGTGGAGGTCTCACAGGCAAGAACCACCAGCCGCTAGCTCCGCAACGCGCTTCCTTGCGGCGCCAGGCGCAGCGTCCGCGGCCGTCACTCTGAAGCGGACAAACGAGTGGGGCGTCGCAGCACAGTGCCTCGCTCAAGCGCGCTGCGCCGCAAAGGACAAGGTCCAGCGCGGCGCGGGCAGCAAACAAGAGACCCAAGCCCCCTTCACGCGTGGCACCCCGCCTGGCCTCGAGAAGCTTGGCCCCTGAAAGGTGGCGCAGGGACAAGCCAGCTGCTACCTGGGACTCCGAATTCGTCGCTGCGTGCCCGCAGGCGCGCCTTGAACAGGAGCAAGGCTTGTTGGACGAGTTGCTGCAGCAGTCTGCGTGACTGCTGCTCTTGTTTTGCGCCGCGCCTCGCGCGCGCGATGACTGGGAGCGGCGCAGGCTTTCCTCCGCCCCCCAACACGCGGAAAAGCAGGTTTGGGGATGTCCCTGAAGAAAGCTGGCCACTTGTGTCCAGCACGCCGCCAGCTTCGATGTCAAGCCCGACCAAGTGGCATCTGGCAGATTGAAAGAGCTCAGGGCACGTTCGCTCCTTGCAGCGGCGGGCCCTGGCTGGGCAACGGCGACACAAGGGTGGGTGTCAACTGCAAGCAGCTGACCCCCCCCACAAGGACAAGCCCTCCAAAGGGCCCTACTGTGACTGGAGCAAAGCCTTGCTGGATGGGTCGAGAGCAACTGCGCACCCGTGCGGCGGGCAACGGCCGCGGCACACCGTCACAAAGCTCACGCTGGGGGGAGTCCAATCTGGCTGAGCTCGGCGCAAGCTGTGGCAGCAGCGCGAAGGCAGGGCACGTGCGAGACCAGGGCCTCAAGGTCACTGAGGAAAGCTTGCGCGGCACGCGGCACGTGTTGACGAAGGACTGGCAAACAACCCGCCCAAGACGCCTGCTGAGACAGAAGTTTGAGCAGGGCGATCCTCCGTGCCCAAGTCGCCGGCCAAAAAGCCACCGCACCGCAAGAGCAAGTAGATCTGGGGCCAGCGCGTCCCCTTGCTCACATCCGTCTCATCCCACCACAAGTTCTCAGGTTGCCGCGCATACAAAACCCAAACGAAGGGCACGAGCGCCCACCATTTCCGCGCGCCCGTCCAAGGGAGTTCAATGGCGGCGCGAAGGAGCGCGGCCAAGCAGTCCGTCCCGGCTCGTGTTTGCAGCGCGAGCTGGTACCGCCTGGTGGTTTCGCGAAGCGGCGCGCATACGCCCTACCCCCCTTCCCCACGCCTGCGCGCTGTCCGGCTGGCTGCCGCCAATGTCGCGGATGCCCTCCGTGCAGCCTAAAAAGGTACAGAGGCGGGCCGGTCAGGCGCCACAGTGGATCACTACAAAATCCAGCTGGCAAATGAGGTCACGGTGGCGCTGTTCGTCGAAACGGCAACCAAGCTCGCCAATGCCAATGTTCCGGAGCCCATCCTCGCGGCCTTGGCCATTGCTCGTCTTTCACATCCTTGCAAACCACGTGGTGGAGTGCGGGGCATCGCCGCACGCCAAGTCGCGCCTACAGCTGCTGCGCAGGCGTACGTGCGGCGGTGGACCGCCCTCTTTGCACCGGCTGCCAAGCAATCGGCCCAGGAAGCCTGGGCTGCGGAAGGAATACCAAAACCACCACGGTTGCTCAGGTCTCCTACCCAGAGCAAGGCTGCAAGGGCTGGCACCAGTGTCAGACGCAAGGAAGCATGCGAAGCAGAGCCTCCGGTTGCAACAATAGCACGCCGCGCTTCAGGCGGGCGCCGCAGCAGATGCAACGTCTGCCCATCGCCTGGAGCATGCACCTGCCTGGCGCGAGATACCTCGCCGCGGCGGACCAAGGCGCACGCCCGCGTAGCCGAGAACGTGCTCCTACGTGACGCGCCATTTGGGGCGGCGTGCAGGTTGGACGACTGCGATCCGCTGCCGCAAGCGCCACCACATTTACCTTGAGTTCCTCCGGAGCCGGCGCTGCTGCCTGCTCTGCTGCCTGCTCGTCCTGCGACGCCTTTCACCGCCTGGTTGCCTGCACCGGGCGTCAGCGAGCAGGTCGCTCAGGCGGCTGTGCACCATCAACACACGCCTTCCCGAACAACGGGAGCTGCAGGAAGAGGCCCGGCAGCCACCTTCCTTTGCAGCAGAGGCCGCTGCCAGGGAGGCCCTTTGCCAGCCCGCTTGGACCCCGCAAGCGTGGAGAGAATTGCTTGCCGACGTGCGTGAGCTTGCGGCGCGTGAGGAGGGGCCATCCACTTTTCACAGGGGCTGGCAAGGCGTTGCTTCGGCAGCAGCGTGCCACCCACGTGAGCATTTTCGGCCATTACATGCCACTACGAATCCTCCCGCCCAAAAGCATTGTTGCAGTCTCCGTCGGCCAGCCGCTTCCTCACCACGGCGCCGGTTTGCTCCCACCTGTTTCGCGTGCTCCTTTTGCGCCTCCGTCTCCCTTTGCCCTCTCTGAGCGCACCTGCCGGCGCCGTCGCCCTTTGAACCCCGTTGGCGACCGCCGTGCAGCCACGTGCCTGGCAGACCTTTGCCTTTGTCCGAGCGTACCTGCCGGCGTCGTCGCCCTCTCGACCCTCTTGGCGATCACCGAGCAGCCTAGGTTTGGTGCTTGGCGGCGCGCTCGAGAGGGCCGCCGCTCGTGTTTGCAGACAAGCTGGCGCCCGCGTCACGTACTCCAGGGCGCAAGTTGAGGCCGCTGGCGATCTTGGGCGGAGCCCGGAAGGGGACCAGCACCCAATAGTTGTTATATTGTTTCCATTTTTTCTTTTTTTTTTTTTTGCGCGCCTTTTTGCAATCGCCTTGGTTTGTCCCCCCGAAAACCCTGTTTCCGCAGCATCATGGGACTCGGAAAAAGCCAGCGAGGCCTCGGGCGGCAGTGCGCGCAAAACATGGCTGCACGGCGCAAAACAGAAGCAGCAACCAAGCAGACTGCAAGTCAGGCATTGCACGCACGCCTTGCAGGAGCTGATCCAGCTTGGCTCTCGTGAGCTGGGGCTGCGTGGCCACGAAAGCGGGACTGCCGCAAGGGACGCCGAGGGCAACCAAACCCTGCACCGGACCTTCGAAAGACCCGAGCTCGCGAACGCCAGGCGGCTTTCGCCCGGATGTGTTCCACAGTCGGGCCTTGCCGCGGTGGAGCCGGATGCGCGCATTTTGGGGCAAGTGCAAGGACAGCAGGTCAAACACAGCACGTGCCCGCTCTGGAGATGTGATGACATACACGTCATCGAGGTAGGCCAACAGGAGCTCGTCTGGTCGGAGGTGGCGTTGCACCTCGGCGAGGGCCGCGTGCTGACCCAATGCGAACAAAGCGGGCATGAGGGGATCCCCTTCTTCGCCGCCTTCCGCTTGCCCACGCGTCAAGTCACACAAACCTGGAGGGGGCGGCGTAGAACTGGCGCACAGAGGGCACGCCAGCGTTGGCTCCAGGAACTTTGCACAGTGCTTGCAACAAGGCTTGGCGGCTGATGTGATCAAAAGCGCCAACCCCGTCCACAGACAGGATGGCGGCAGCAGGGCGGGCCTCCGTCGCAACCAGCAAAGCATGGGCGACGGCTTCGGTGCATTTGCAAGGTTTGTGCCAGGGAGCGACCAGCCAAACGCCGCAGGAAGTCACCAACCAAGATTCTCCTAACGGCTGCGGGCAAGCCAAACCTGGCCAATGTCTTCGTTATGGAGGAGGGCCTAGCCTTTTCCCTCGTTGTGAGCCCCGGTCGGCTCGGGCGCATTTGTGCAGGCCCAGCTTGGCACAGTACACGCCAAACAACTGCGTTTCTTGCGGCCCCCTCCGACCTTTCCAAACTTGCAAGGTGCTTGGTTGCTGTCCGAATAGCCTTTGCGCAAGCGCGTGATGAGGCAGTTTCCCGAGGGATGCCTTTTCCCAGGCCTGGCATTAGTGCAAGCGCAGCTTGCCTTGCAGCATGGCAGTTTGGGCTGGAGATTTGCACTAGCCTTCTCAACCTTTGCATTTTGCAGTTCTTGGGCTGGCTGCTGGCCGGCCACGCGCAGGCTTTGAGGCTCGCCAAGCCAGCAATCATTGTGATGGGCTTGATCCCAGTCTGGCCTGTGCTCCGCCCAGGTCCTCGCAACGCAGCTTTCATCCATAGAGCCGTCGTACTTCCGTGTGATCCTGTTGACGCGGCTGCGCCTTCCACTGCCTTTCCTGCGCGCACATCGTGCTTGCAGGCGGGTCAGCGTGCCCGAGGGCTTGCATATAGACCGCTAGGGGGCCCCTTAAACGTGTGGCCGTGCGTGTGTCGTGAGGCTGGGGCGCTGGTCACCACCCACGCCCTTGCCCGCGATTTTCACGTGGGTGCTGTTCTGGATGATTGGAGAATTGAGGTCGTTGCCAACGGGTTGCTCGTGCCGCGCCGCACTTACACTCGGCGCGCCACACAGCAGCAGTATCAGCCACGCCCCGTGCCAAGCACCTGCTGCGCATCATGCCGCCGCGCCGCTTCCGGCGTCAGAGCGTGATCTCACGCCGGTGGCGGAGCAACCACCTGCGACTCCTGATGGCTCGCTCCCCGTTGCTGGTCCGGCGCCTGCTTCCCCCAAAGATCTGCCCATTGGACTTCCCCAACAGAACTCCTCACCCCCCCCCGCGGGCGACCCAGCAGTGCCCGCGCCTGACGCGGACTCAGCAGCCCCCTTGTCATTGCCCTGAATGCCCGAGCTTGACAGCCCATCGCTGCGAGCAGCGCTCGCTCCGCTTGACAAGGTTCTTTTTGCTTCGTGTCCTTCAGCAACGGTGCTGGTTTTCCCAAAGACCTCCGAAGGTCTTGCGTGGCCCGTTCCGAGCGGTTTTGTCACTTGCCCTGCAGGCCATTGATGCGGCCGGGCCTCAGGAAAAAAAACTCGAAAATCGCAGGACCGATGGGCTCGCAGCCCGCTCGGCACGACGCACTGGATCATTGGCCGGAGCGGCCGGGGGCGGAGCGTCGGCTGCGGCGGACTGGAGAAGTGCCTCCCGCCGGCCGGCTTGGAAAAACCAAAAACCGGGAACGCGACTCTGGCTTGGTAAGCCTGTGTGTGCCAGGGCGCCGGTGGAGAAGCAAACGGGCCAGCAACAACCAACGAGTCCAGGCCCGGGTTTGCGCGAGCTCGTGTCGCGCCAACTGCTTCCACTGCCCGTGGCAACTTGCGGCGGGCCAGGAAAGGAGCTGCAGCAGGCCCTGCTGGCTACACTTCTGAGTTTTGCCGTTTGGTTTTGGACGACGAGACCGCCAGTGCTTTGTTCATCCGTGCTGCCTCCGCTTTGGCCCAAGCGCGGGTCCCGCTATGCATCGCGGCAGCTTTTGGTCTCGGGCGGCTGGTGGCCCTTCGAAAGCCGAATGGGCGTGCTGGCCGCGCCGGGCAGAGACACCTACCGCCAAGCAAGGTCGAGAGCGGCGCCGACGCCAGCCCACAGCAGCTGGTCGGCGCACAGCCGGAGGGCCAAATGCGCGCCAGCCGGTTCACAAGGTTATGGTCGCGGCACAGGGCCTCCCCCACCATCCAAAACAAGGTAGAGGCGGCTTCGATCGCCCTCAGCAAGCGCGTCCAGCGCAGCGCCACAACTCGGAAAACCATCACCCCCGCATCTCCGGCGAGCAAGGGGCAACGGGAGGCGTCCACGCTGGCAATGCGACGCGCATGTGCGCCGGGGGCAAAGCGGCCCCAGGGTCCGTAGGCAACGCCGCCAGCCAAGCCCCAGCCTGGGGACCAGACTTGGATCGGAGACAAGCGCGGTCGCTGGGCCATATGGCCGGCAGCAGCTCGGTCTCGCGTGCGCGACATGCGAACAGTTGCCAGCCACAAGGCCAGTCAGCGGGGTCGCCGTTTGCGTCGGCCGGAGGGGCAGCATGGGCCATCTTGCATTAGGAAATCGCCAGCCGCCGCAGCTTCACGAAGGCATGGCGCAGCCGCTTCGTCCTGACGGCGCTCGAAGTTGGAGGGAGCTGAGGTGAGGGGACCGAGGCCTTCCTCCTCGTGAGGCGCAAGGCAGATCTCTGGCGAAGCGCGAAACGATCGCGGACACGTACAAGAGCCGGCGGGGCAGATCCTCGCAGTGGCGGGCTCAGCCTCTCCCAACTTCCCACCGACGTTGAAGACGCGGAAGCCGCGCGCCGCTCGAGAGTGAAGTCTTGTCCGACGCGCGTTGGGGGTCGGGTAGGGGCCGTCTTCATGTCTCACCCGGTCTCACGGCGGCTCGACGGCGGGGGGGGAAAACAAAACGGTTTGACGAATTATTGCCATTGGACTCCTTTCTGCTGCTATCTGTCGGCTACGCGCGGCCAACAGGTAGCAAGGCTTTCACAACTACCTGTTTTAGGCTTGAAGCAGTGCACTGAGCGACGTCACAAAGCAAATAACAGCATAGAGCAGTCCCGCAGAAAGAAGCTCTGTCAAACCTGAAACCATATGTTTGTCAAGCCTCAAGGAACAGCATTCGCTTCACAGAATTGTTGTGAACTCTGTGCCATGCAGTTTTGCTCTTCTTGCCCGATGCAAATCATACTATTGTCAAAATGGAGATGTGTTCGCGTGTGTGCCCTTCTATTTGTTTGCAAGTGATCGCAAAGCTTGCAGCTTGCGTGAGAGTGGCAGCACCGCTGGCCGGTGCGATTCTGGGCCCGGAACATCTTAAATCTGGTCGACCATCCAAGGCAGCAACACCTTGCAATGTTCCAAGGACGGACAAGTGCCAAAGGCACGGGGGCAGGGCCCAGCCTCAAACCAAGGGGAAGAAGTGGGTGCCGCAAGCCGGGCGGAAGGATCGCCGGCAGTTGCTGCGCCGGCGTGGGCGAGGTTCGTTCTGAAGCGCTTTAACGGGCGAATGATTTGATTGACTGCTTTGGCACAACTTGCGCGGAAGCGGCCGCGGGGGCACCACGCCTGCCAAGATTACTTTGGAAGAAAACGACCTGATGATCTTCATTAGCCACAAGTAGAAAGCCATGCACAACGCTGCAAAAGCCGCAAATGCAAACGCTGTTGCTCCGCCAAGAGCTACACAGAAATTGGGCTGCGATCTGGAGTAGGACGAGCATGCTGCATATATGCGACAGCGGCTGAATGCTGGCGCACGCGAGTAGGCACAGCAACAGCAGCGCAGTTCGAGCGCTCCATGTTTCGTGGATGTGGAAAGCGCGACTAAAACCATGCGCTCTGTTTGGGCGGCTCGGCCCAAACTAAACGACGGGAAGGTTGGGATGTTCTGAGAAGGACGTGGCTCTACGCCCTCGCAAAACGCAAGCCAGGCACGGCTTGTTTCCAGCGTGCCTTTACCACGACGCTTTTGCCCTTCCTCTGCGGCCCTGCTCAGAAAAACCACGTCAGAACACGTACTTTGCAGGTTCTGCTTCCACACCAGGTGGTGCCCAACTGTTGTGTGCATTCCTGGCTCTGGACAGGAAGCTTGTGTATCACTTTTACACATGTGGGGTTTGCATGTACAGCTAAGCATCAAAGCAATAGAGTGGGCTTTGAGAACAACCCAGCTGTGCAGCACCGGCACTTTTTCCCGCGTCTTCAATCCACAATGACGATTCTCCATCTTCGCTTCCGACCTCCATCGTCGCACCTCACGCAGCGTTAGAAGCGTTCAATGCAAGCCTCAGAGCAATCTTAGAAAGCCACGCCGGCACAGCAGGAATCTCCGCCACATGGCCTGCAATGGCCTGCAATGGAATGCGAGAGGTTTCCTCTGCCCACTGTTTGACATGAGCAACACAGTTGCCTCGTAGGCTGATACCACCTTGCGGAATTTCTCGGTGGCAGACGCCTGCACCCACATCTGTCCAAAGCAGGCAAAATCCGAAGATTACGTAGATCCTCGGTCTGGCACAATGTGTCAAACTAGGGCGACCAAAATGGTGGACACCCAATTTCACATGTGCATGACTTGAATAGGCCACACGCAAACTGTCGTGCCTTCTCCTTATCCCCTCGGTGCTTGTCCGGGTGGTACTGCAGGGCCAATCGCCGGTAGGCCTGAAAAGCGTGAATCTTCCTGATAGTTGCAAAAAGGAAAGGAAAGGGAAGGTACATGCCCACAAAGACCCGTACTTTCCGTTTTCCTTCCCTTGACCCAGCCCTCTCCCAGCGGAGGGGGGGGAACCCAACGAAACATCGCTCCATAAAACGTGTCAAACGCCCAACTTGTGGCTCGGTGACTCGCACATCTCGGGCCTTCTTCAGCTGCGCAGGATCAGCCCCAGGCTCCAGCTCCAGCACCTGAGATTGCCAAAACTGACGTTGCAATTCAGCCAGCCCCCTGATTTGTGTTGAGAAATTTCGCAACTCTGGTCTTTTTGGTCCGCGAATTCGCCGAGACCGGCTTATCGTGCGCCCCTTTTTCTTTTGACTTTCTTCCATGCAAGTCCCTTGATGTGGGGGAATTTCGCCAACTTAGCCAGTCCCCTGTTGTTTAAAGGACTTGTTTGCCAGGATTGTTTAAGGAAATGTAGCCAGTCCCCTGTCGCAGTTTTATGTTTTTCAGATTTAGCCAGTCCTGACTTGTCTTTTAGTCAGCCCCCCCCCCCGATTTAAGCAAGAATGTTATTGAGTCCGGTGAAGAAACTTTGTCGAGTCCTGCGTTGTTTGTTGAAATTTAGTCAGTGCCCCTGCTTGTGCGGAACATGTATTGAGTCCGTGAGTCCCCGGCTTACTGTTGCAATTTTGGTGAGTCCGCCAGCTTTCGTGGAGATTGAGAAAGTCCCTCAAGTTTTGTAGGCAGTTTAGAGCCCCCACCCCCCTCCCCGTTTGAACAAAATTTAGTCAGTCGCCCGGTTTGTGCATCATTGTCAACCACGTGTCCCCCTCAAATGAACCATAGACTCTTGGCAATTCTGACCAAACCTCACACGCGTTGCGCTCTTAGGTCCCTGGCCTTCCAATCCGCTGGCGTAGGCTCCGGCTTCTGCTCACCCTTCGTCCTCCATCTCTCTCGCTCGTTCTTCATATCTCTTACGTCTCTTGCGCTTGCGTCTCTTGCGTCTCTTGCGTCTCTTGCGTCTCTTGCGTCTCTTGCGTCTCTTGCGTCTCTTGCGTCTCTCGCCCTGTCTCCATGTCTGCACCAGTCTCGGAGAAACAAACTTGGCCCTGGCAGACCTTGCAGGTCGGATAAGACCATTGCTGTGGAGGTAGTTCTTGAGCTCAGCATCCGTCCAATTCTTCTCCTGTTGATTGGCTCGTGGTGCGTAGCCCTTTGAGAACAAGGCGCCTGGTCAGGCGTCGGAACTTCCCCGGAAAAGGTCGGGTTCTTCTCAAGCATGTCTGCCATCCTCCGGCTCACCTGGCAAGAATAGACATGGAGATCATAAAAAAAATTGGCTCATGTGTACCCGGTCTCTGTCGTAGTGTCCCCCGCTTATCACCCATCGAGATCTTGCCACAGTCAGGCTAATTACACATATTTGTTGATCTTCAAATAGCTCAAAGTGATGTCGCGCTGTGTGTGTGTGTGTGTGTTCCAGCCTTGACCTCCAAGTCCTCATCCTCCTACAGCTCAGTGCCGAACTGCGGCCCTTGACACGGTCCAAATCTTGTCCCTTAGAGGCCAGTTGAATGGCTAGGTTTGTAGCCTGGGATCATAGGAACATGTCGTGTCCTCTGCCTCCCCTTCTGCATAGGGTGCCTAGGAGCCAAGGGCAAAAGCAAAAAAGCCAGGGCAAAAGCCAAACTGCTTTTCTGTTCCGAGTCATTCTCTCTGTCTTCAAATCCCTCCGGTTTGCGTTCACTTCCTGGGCAAACGGGCCGTCTTTGGGCAGCGGCGCTGCTGCCTGGTCACCCTACAGCATGCATAGCCTCGAAGAACGATTCTGTTTTTACGGTTCTCGGCTAAACACCATGAAGCCACTACTCTTTGATTCTAGTTGTATTAC